CGTTTGGTGTTGATCATTTCTCGGTCCGTGCTTTCTTTTGCGTTTCTTTTCTTGACCACCTATCACATGAGTGCTTGCCACCACCTCGATTCTCAGGGACAAACATGCCCCCCCAAAAAAACCAGACAACGCATGCATGTCTATTTATACACTTGTTTGCTTTGAGTTGTACGAGTACGCTTTTTTGTCTTTTTGGTGGTGTCGGCAACAGGCAACATCCACCATATGGTTTTTTTTTTCCATGTACATACATACCATCATATTCGGCCATACCACCGACCCTTACATCTTACATAGCTTTGCATGATGCCTTGTGTGTATGACATACCCCCTTCCCGCTGTGCTCCTTTCATTCCGCACGGCCCGGTCCCGTTTCGGGGGTTGTACTTGTTAATTATAGATCGATTCGAGAACTTCGTCCACATACTTCACAATGAATCGGCTTGGGTTGAGCATTGGGGTATCGTCACTAGGTACGATAGCATGGCTTTTATCTGACGAGGGCAGAATTCATCAACCCAATCCGACCTAAACCGTCAATTCCACCCGATCACCACAGCCGGGGGTTGCCTAGTATGTACAGTACAGCACTCCACTCCCGCTTCCTCCGTCCGAAAGCAAAACAAAAAGATATACAGCTAGGCCCAGAACACCGACTCACTTCCCCACAGGACTGACTGGATATCCAAATCCCAAACCCACCCAGCTCTGTAAGTCTGTCTAGGTACACGTGTGTACCTCACATGTACTCCGTACATGTACAGGACATGTACATCAAGCACAGCATCGGGACCCCCCCCCCCCCCCCCCCCCCCCCCCCCCCCCCCCCATCCACTGGCCCTGCTGGCCCTGCTGGCCCCGGTCTGGCTGTATTGAAGACACGCCTAATATATTGACTGACCTGATGCATGGAAGTACTGTTCTTCCCACCAACACACATATGTACTGTCCATACATGCGCCTATGGATCGCAATTCAGTCCAGCCTGGACTGGATGCCAACTTACCTACCTACCCTCTTCGGGGGTGGTCTTTAGTATTGGTTGGAGGTCCAGGTAGAGGTAGAGGTAGTCCAGGATACCGGGGTGAGATCTGGCTGTCGTGGGTGTGGTATAGTATACCCTGCGACACTCCCCTCCCCCTCCGCTTTTTCAAGGACCTGGGTTTCGATATGTGGATGTGGACTGTACTCCAGACTCCTGTCCAGCGGTGCGGTGGTGGTGCTACTTGACCCACCGCGTTGTAATGCCGACGCAACGGTTGACCCGGGAAGGTTTCTGTATACTACTAGTATGCTACCCTTTCCCTAGCCCTTTCCCCATACCCGTACTTCTAAATACCCCATGCTTTTTTGAAGGGGTCAACAAGACTCCCACAAAGGTCCACTACACTACACTACCGCATCATACTTGCGTATGCGTAAGAGTAAGAAACAACTCGGATTCTCGTGTATCTTCTATCCCACCGCTACCGCTCAGCTACAACATTAAAGCCAGGTCCTCCAGACCTGGAACATCAAGGCACAGAAAAGTCCAGCGCCCCAAGAAATACTCATGCTCGTACTCGTACTCATGCCGGATGTTTCCAGGCTCCGCTATCATACCACCATCCCACACGTATGCGCCATTAGTATTTGAGGATTGAACAGCAGAAGAAATGTTTCCGGAACATAGGAGCCAAGGTAAGTCAGATTGTTGGGCAGGAAGCAAAGGAATTGGGAAGGGGGTATTAGTTGACTAGTGCAGGTATGGTGCATCAGGGGGCTGGGTTGGGAAGTGGGGGGTCGGGAGGTGGTTGTCAGGGAGGTGGTTGTCAGGGAGGGTCTGATATATGTATGTATCTGCTCATTTGTCCGGTTGGTCGTGGGTGTTGATGTTCTGTTGGGTATGTTTTTGACTGGGTTTGGTTTTTGGTTTGCGCTGGTGGGTTGGCGGAACCTTTGGCCCTGGCCCCCGGGTCTTGGGCTTGGGCTTGGGCTTGGGCTTGGGCTTGGGCTTGCTTGGATCGTGATTCCGCTGAAAGTATATCGCATCGCATCGCATCCATCGATGACCTTCCCCATCTCCACCTCTCTTTCTGATTCGCATCTCCTGGGCGCTTTGCCCCCGCGAGTCGAAGAAATCCAGCCCTCGACTCTAAAGTAACCACCGGTTTGTCGCTTGATCGTTCCGATCCTTGTCCCTCCACCTCGCGCGCCTCACACTTCATCCTTGCACCGAGATCTAACCAGTTTTGAATGGAAAAGAATAAGAATCAGTTCTGGCCGTATTTGCAGGACCGAGATCTATGCATGTCATTCTGATGACCGTTTCTATAGCGTCACACTCTCCAGATCGCGCACCATGACGGACATCTGCGCCCGCTTGGCTGCCTCCGCGACGAGGCTGAAGTCGCGCAGGAACGGGGCGGTGGCGGTCGGGCCGCCGGAGCCGGTGATCTGGTGCGGGTAGTTGTCGGTGTGGTTTGAGGGGTCTAGGTGGTGTTGTTGGTGGTGGTGGTGGTGGTGGGTTTGGTGCGGTTCGGTGGGACGTTGAGAGGGGTTGGTGCTGGTGCTGTTGGTGCTGGTGCTGGTGACGGCCATGGCGGCCGCGGCGGCTAGGTTGAGGGGGTTGGGGGGTTGCGGGACGGAGCTGGCCGGAGAGGTGGTGGTGAGGTTTTGGGGGTGGGCTTGGGAGGCGTTGAGGGTTGCCATTATTCTTATCGATACTTGTGGTGTAGTGGTTGGGCTGGATGAGGTGATGATGTAGGTGGTGATGGTGGTGGTGGTGGTGGTGGTGGTGGTGGTGGTGGTGGTGGTGGTTGTGGGTAAAGGTGTAGGTGAAGTGCAGGTGTAGATGTCAGATGGCGGTTGATATAAGCTGAGATGGAGATGAAGATAAGGTAAGTGAAAGACGGCTAAAGGCTGACGACTATCTAACAGGTAACAAAGAGGATTGTGTACTGTATTCCGTACACTACAGGGCTGCTTTCACCCTATCTCTGCAAAGTGCGTGGACTGATCCGGTGGAGTCCAGTCGAGATTTTAACTGCCTCTCAGCCTTGAAAAAGGAGGGAGGGGATGGCGTGATGAGAAGCAGCGGAAGCAGCAGTGATGCAGTTAAGTAGAAAGAATAGACTGAGCCAGAGAGAAAAAAAAAGTCCCAGTCCCAGCAACACGTGGGGCGGTTGACCGGATGGACCGCGGTATGACGTCCGGCAAATCTCCAACGAGAAAGTCAACGATAAGAAAGAACTTCAACGACTGGGTGATGATGATGAAACCGTCCCAAACCCAAGCCTAACCCCAGAATCCCGAAGTCAACTCTCCAGCTTTTATGCGGTGGAAGTCCAGTCCAGTACTTGGTAGATTATCCATGCACCCCGGGTAAAGAAGGCATACGTACTTTTGACGCAAGGTACTGTTACATACCTCGTCCACTGCAAGGCCAATCTTCTCCTTGAGCAATCAATGATCATTGATGATCGATTGAAAGGAGTCCAAGGCCTGAATAGACTGAACTTAAGTAGCAGGACTAAACCAGTTCCAGCAAGTCCTTGAAGATCGCCAAGATTGCCTTATTGGAACAATCACAGTTGGAGCCAAAAGAGCCAAAAGAGCCCAAAAGAGCCCAAAAGGGAAATCCCGTGTCCGACTTTTACCCGGTCCGCATCTCCACGCGGGGTTCAGTTTTTCCTTTTGGAATTTGCTGCGCAATCCACCACTGCACTGCAAGCACCGTGACTGTCTGGATTCAAATGCCTCGGTTCAGGTCACATGGTGTCATGTGATCCTGGAGGATCAAGCTAAACCCAGAAAGGACATCCCCACTATGGACGAGCTCCACTCGACACTATCGCGATAGCGAGAAATTATCAGCGCAGGGCGCCTGCATCCGAATCGGTCGCCCGCAATGCCCCTCGCATCCTGGACCACCACCTGACCCAGCGAGCGACCGAAACCATGGCGGACGAGGACAATTTCGACACCGGGGACATGTTCCAGGATCCGGAGGGGTTCTACGAGCCCGAACCGGAGCCCACCTTTGCGGAGCATCACATGCTGTCTGGACAGACGGTGCGCGTCCGCCTGGTGGGCAGCCATCCGCTCTACGTATATCCCCCCAATTCTGTTCAACTTCTTTCGCCAAACTCACCTTTTCTCCTTCTGATAGGGCAACCTCCTCTGGAACGCCGGCCGCACCAGCTCCCACTACCTCGAAGAACACGCCGACCGACTCGTCAAGGGGAAGGACGTGCTGGAGATCGGCGCCGCGGCGGGCGTCCCCAGCATCGTCAGCGCCATCCTGGGCGCCCGCACCGCCGTGATGACCGACTACCCGGACGTCGACCTGGTCGAGAACATGCGCCACAACGCGGGGCTGTCGGCCGCGCTCGTCGGCCGCGACTCCGCGCTGCATGTGGACGGGTACAAATGGGGCACCTCCGTCGCGCCGCTCCTCGCCTATCTCCCGGAAGCCGCCCGGAGCCAGGGCTTTGATCTGCTGATCATGGCCGACGTGGTATACAGCCACCGCGAGCACCCGAACCTGATCCAGACGATGCGCGCGGCGCTCAAGCGCAGCCCGGAGGCCGTCGCCCTCGTCATCTTCACCCCGTACCAGCCGTGGTTGCTGCCCAAGACGGAGAAGTTCTTCCCGCTGGCCGAGGAGAGTGGGTTCCACGTCACCAAGATCTTCGAGAAGGTGATGGACGATGTGTTGTTCGAGAATGATCCGGGAGTGAGTATTCTTGTCGTGCTTTGTTGGGGGGGAATCAGTGCTAATCTTGGGCTTAGGATGAGCGGCTACGGAGGACAGTGTTTGGATATGAGATCCGGTGGACGGAGGAGGAGTTGAAATAGACGGCCGGGGACTGGACGAGACATGAATTGGGTTGCATGGCTGGTGTTGCGCGGGGGCACATGGTACAGTACATACAAAAGTGATTGTTTGCTTGGATAGACGGGCGTTTCCCCCCCTTATATCAATCTACTACATTATACATTTTGCCATTGCCTCGAAACACTTTGTAAACAAGTATACAATCTCAATCAATCGCAGTGTAGTTGAAACCGACCAGAAACGGAGCAGCTCTGTACCGCAAAGCAAAGTCACATGTAACCCCACCCACCGCCCGCCCGCAGCGGCGGCGGCGGCCCCGCGCAAAAAAATCCCCAACTTGCATCATCACACATACCAACCATCCGACAATTCTAGACATTGATCCCACCCAGCGCAAGCCCACCATGCCAGTAAGTCCAACACCCATACCCCCTCTTCAACCCAACCGACCTTACGATGAAACGTACGGAATACTGACCTCTCCCGGAAAAAAAAAGCTCATAGTGCTAACCGGCTACCCCTGCTCGGGGCTGACCTACCGGGCGAACCAACTCGCGGCGCAACTCGAAGCGACGCAGGACGAGCTCTACGCGTCCGGGGTGTTCCCGGACTCCAAGCCCCGGTTCAAGGTCCATGTGGTGCCGACGCACGATCCGTCGCACCCGCGCACGGTCTACGACCAGGCGCGCACGGAGAAGGAGTCGCGCGGGGTGGCGTACGCGCGGGCCAAGCGGGCGCTGGGCAAGGACAGTTTCGTGATCCTGGACGGGATGAACTACATCAAGGGATATCGGTATCAGCTGTGGTGTGAGGCGAAGGCGCTGAAGACGAGCAGTTGTGTGGTGTGTATCCTTGCCCTCCAAGAGGCTGGGTGAGAGGGGAGAGTGATTGCTAATTGAGAAACGGGGCATAGGTCCACGTGGGCACGCCGATCGAGCAGTGCGTGAAGAACAACGAGGCGAGGATCCAGCGCAAGGCCGCGGAGGGTGTACCTACCTCCTCCCCGGAGGAGGAGGAGGAGGCCACCACCACCACCGATGCACCAACAACCGACAAAGAAGACCCCTACCCGACGGACCTCCTCAACAACCTGATCTTCCGCTACGAAGAACCCAGCATCCACAGCCGATGGGACAAGCCGCTCTTCACGGTGCCATGGTCGGACGCCTCGCCTCCCATCGCCGAGATCTGGACCGCCCTGACGGGCCTCCCGCACCCCTCCACCGCATCGCCCGAAGACCAACAACAACAACAACAACACCCCCGGACATCCCTCCTAGACCTAACCACCACCTCCCTCACCAACACCCACCTCACCAATCCCGAAACCGCCAGCATCGCCCCCTCAACCTACACAACCACCACGGCCAACGGCGGCGGAAGAACCCCCCTGGGCCGCCCCCGCATCCGCCCGCACCAGGCCACCGCCCTCCCCGCCACCACCTCCTCCACCGCACTGTACAGCATCGAGAAAACCACCTCGAGCATCATCGCGGCCATCCGCGCGTTCACGCAGGCGCACCCCACCGCCGACGAGGCGCTCGCGGCCTCCGCTTCCGCTTCCCCCTCCTCCTCCTCCGGGAGAAGGGACGAAGGCATCACGATCCCGATCCCGGCGTCGGCGACGCCGCTGTTCGTGCCCGCGCACGTCGCCCGCGCCGGCGGGCCCACCGAGGAGCTGGCCGCCGCCGGCGGCGTGCTGGCGCTGCCGCGGCTGCAGCGGTGGCGGCGGCAGTGGATCACGCTGAATCGGGCGTATGTGGCCGGCCCGCATGCCAGTGCGCGCGGCGGCGGGCTGACGAGCGAGGAGATCCCCGATGCGTTTGTGCGGTTTTTGAACGCTGAGGTTGGGGGTGTCGATACTTAGTTTCTTTTGCAAGGGTGGTTCGTGCCTTTCGAAGGGTGGATGGGAGCATAGCGGTGTCTTTATGATGTTTGGGGGGGGATGGATGCATGAAGTGGTGGTGTTTCAGCCTTACGCGTTACGGTCAGATGGGAAAACAGACGAGTACAGCTTTCATCGTTGGATATTGTATATTGTATAGAGTGTATATACCCACCCAAAGGGGTGCTGAGAATAGAACAGAAGAAATCGCTCACACCAAACCCATATGCAATGCCAATGCCACCGCCCCCCGCCCCCCGCCCCCAAATCCATCGCATCGTCTCACATCACGAAAAGCAAATTGGTATCTACACTCAAACATTAGCAAACACATCCACACACACTCTCTCACCTGCCCTACTCCACCGGACAGGCAGGACCACTCACCAAGCGGATGACTACAGCTCAACTGCGGCTTCTGCGTATACTTGCCCTCCAGCTCGTTGCGGATGGAATTCAGCAGCTGCAGGTAACTCTGGTTGGGCCGCTGCTGGAGCGACTTGATGAAGGCCCAGCTCAGCGCGCCGCGCGCCTCGCCGTCCTGGAAGGTGTCGGCCCTATCGGTCGGCAAAAAGAATTAGCGTATTCGGCACCGTCTGGCGAAGCCATTTCCTTCCTTCCTGAGGAGAGGAGCAGGGACGTACGAAGTCTGCGTATCCTTGGACCCGGAGAACATGACCACGTCGGCCGGGGAGGTCTTGGTCTGCATGGTGCGCTGGCGGGCGGTGTCGCCGTTGGCCGCCTTCTTGAAGAAGCCGATGGCCGTCTGCGCGACGCTGCTCAGGTCGCCCTTGCCGTACGACTGGAAGGCGCTGAACAGGTCCATCGCCGCCTCCTTGGCCAGGTTGGGCTCCTTGAGGATCCCCTGCGTCGAGTAGACGTAGGGCAGGTCCAGCGCGGTGCCGGAGTGGCACGAGTCGAAGATCGCCGTGAGCCGCACGCCGGGTTGCAGGGGGCGGACCCTTTTTGTTTGTTTGGTTAGCTGTCGCGCTCTCTCTTTCTCGCTGTGTGTGTGTGTGTGTGTTTGTATGCAGGGTGAAGGGCCTCGCTTACATTATATCGTGCATGTCGTCGTCGACGATGTGGCCCGCGGTGCGGTAGTCGAGGGGGTAGATTACGTCGTCGTAGCCTTAACGCCGGTGTCATCAGGTTAATGCCGGGGGTTTATGTGTTTGGGTTTGCCTGGAAGACTCACCATCCTCTTCGTCACCATCCAGATCAGGCGTACGACCTCCGTGCCCTGATACAGATCCAGTCAGTTAGTCAGTTCTACGCGCACACACAGACATACGGCTATTCAGGGGGGCCACGCACCCGAAAAGTGAATGAACAGCGAATCGTTCGGCTGCGCATCCTTGACCAACCACTGCATGGCCCGCAGGATGTTGGCCTTGGT